GGTTGCCAGTAATTACTAGTGTCTGCCTCTTCTGCTATTGATTCAGTACTGGAGATCCATCTCGGCAGTGGCTCTTATGCCTTTTTCAGACTGTCTATCCAACGCTTTTCACCTCCAACGGTTTCTAGACCATTAACGACCCAATTACCTGTGGGCGTGCACTTGATCCAAAAACGAACATCTACTTTCCCATCATCGAACCGGTTATATCTGGCTCACATATTTCATCGAATATCACTACGACAGGTTCTCGAATCTTCTGGGTTTCTTTCTCCTTTTACGAAACAATTCCTTCCTCCCAATCGGCGTTTTGGTGCATGACGTGGTCTTTTAGGAGAATATTCATCTCGAATTCCTATTTTGTCTTCTCCAGCACCTCCTGACTACTATTCAATGAAGTTTGGCAGGAATTTCACTTACGCTCACTTTTTTCTTTACAATTATAGCATGGGCGAATATTGGTCAATGAAGCGGCCCACATTACAACCGCAATTTCGTGAGGGAGACCTGCAACGTTATGGGAGTTTCCGGTGTTTTTCTATTATTACGACAACAGATTAAATGTTGGGCCCGCTCTATTCGTAACGCTCCGTTCCCGTTTTGTACCAGGTGTTTCGATAAATCGTCTTCACTTTTTACCGCTTGATAGGTACCAAAAACGAACTCTCTTCTTTTTATAATTTTGGTTTTCAGTTCAAGACATTGTCTTTCAATTGCTAGAACATTCCCATCCTTGGTCTTCTCTGAACCAGTGTCACTCATGTGAGTTGAAAATGTTTCACACCCGAAACCAGACTTGTTTTTTCCCTTTGCTGCTTCTTCTGAGGCCGCTGGTCTAGTTAGTTGTCTGTGCCTTATTTATGACAGCATACTTTAACTTTCACCGGTCCTTACTGATCACCTAACGTAAACTCTCGAGCTCCTCCTAGTTCCCTGGGGCCTCGAACTCCTCTGCTTCCCCTGTGGGTTGATATTGAGATCGCTGTTTTGTACTTGGCCTTCTTATCCGACAGATTGTATAGAAATCCCTGCGAACACATGGGTTTATCTCCTTTGAAGTGGAACCCCCGCTTTATGAATAGAAATGATTAGAAATGAATAGAAATTGAAAGTTGCATATTGGGAGCGTGCCAAAACGTCTCTGTCGAAGGGGGTGGCTTCAAGCGGATGGCGACAAATTTTGACATCGCTGCATCTTCCGGGTACTGCTGGTAAGCGACCGAGCAGGGTAATCCCGAGGGACGCCGCAATCGTGTCGAAGGTGCCACTCTATACGGACGCCAGCTGGGCATTGCCTGAATTGCTTTAAGACTGACAGGAGTGTCACGATGAATCGGGAGTGATAAAAATTTTGGGTTAAGTTTGGATGGGGATCGATCTCAACGCCAAGCGAGAGATACGTGTACTACACATTGACACTAACTGCTTCGAATCGCCATCTTTCATCAGAAAACAACACACATTGGAAAAACGGTTTTGTGTTGGGCCATTCACATTCTTTGAACATTTAAACTCCCATTTTCGATTAATTGTAATCGTTCATGGTATGTTCGATTTCAAGCTACCATAGCAACTGATAGAGAGTCTTTCCCAGTTGTACCATCTTCCATTACCAAGAGTTTAATAAGAGGATAAAGTTGTAGGCGTTAATCAGTCCCGTCTGAGGGATACGCCCCACACTCGACTTCAATTCAGAATCATAGTGGCGTAATAAGTGCGTATGTGGCCTATACAATGAATTGCGGTGGCCAGTCCTTGCTACAAGTCAGTACTTTCAACCTCCCAGAGAGTTTGGTACCAATTAACCGACCCCGTAGGGATGGAAGGCTTGGTTGGCCTAGGCGTATTTTTTTTACAAGAGCATAAATTCCAAATGATTAAGTAACAGTACTCTGGAGATGCATGCATAGAGTATGCTGCTTTCCATTCAGCTCAGTCATCCCATCGCAAACGAAAAACATGAGTAAAACTTGTGATAGCCTTAAGATGGGGTTAAGGATCACAAGAAAAGTAAGGAGCAACGAAGAAAATGCATGGTAGGCGACTAATTCTGTGAAGCTCTTTTCGTTCTGTTTTCTCTATCGACTACTTCCGCCTCTTGAGCAATAATCTTTCCTTTCTCTCTTCATATTTCTCACCTTTCATCTTCCCTCAAATCTTTTTTTTTGTCAAGCACACACATCGATGTTCTTGGAGAATGTTGTAGATTTCTTCGGAAACTTTTATTTGCTATGGTTCAAAATTTTCTCTGAAAATTTGAACATTGGAAGTAAGAAGAGGTCCCTTTTTTCAACACCATTACCTTGTAGGAGTCAATATCCCAATCTTTCTTTGAAGTTTCACTCCTTTGATGCCATCTGGTCAATACTATCCTCTGAGGGAACCTGGCAAAAGCTCTTGTCTACCAGACATTTCCTCGATGTAACAATGACATTTTATTATTTCAGAGGTTATGTCCTCTTTATGGTGCGGTACTACTCCCTTTTCATTTTCGGATCCTTTTCGTGTGATAGGAAAAATGGGAAGGGAGGCTGCGAGAATGGGGAAGGGGAGTGGGAGGTATTCTCGACGGTACTCAACGCATTTAACAGACTTGATGCTTACTGCGACGTATAATTGGGCGAAGGGCAAAAATGATGGTACTCACATAAATTCACCGTCAATGAGGTTAACCTCGTTTCTTCGATGACTTCTGAATCCAAGCATCATTATTTGCAGTCTGTCCCTTTGCGGCAAGCAACCCAACTTATTTTCTCTCATTCTTTCTGTTTTAAATGAATAAAACTATATGCCTGAGCCACTAAATTTTCCCATTCATTGCATAGGACTCGAACTTCTCTATCCTTTCTACTTTGAAACCCTCGAGAGTGGTAGTCTTCATCCCTTTGATTAAGTTGTGCAAAGTATCTGCCCAGAATTTCGCAATAGTCCCGATTTCTCTAGGGATTTTTTGGAGGCTCTCTTTTGGTGCCATGTAAGGAAACTGCGTACTATACTACTAGAAAACCACTCGTACACGCATAACATATCCGGCTACCACTTCCTACCCATGTAGTAACCAAAACGCCTACCTATATCCTTCATGTACTTCCTTATGAGTTCAAATCCGGCCACTATGCGGCTGGAACTCAGTAAAAGTTGTGTCAAGCATTTGACCTTGAATCTTTTAGGTGGTTAGGTTCATGCATCGTTCTGACGTTTTACAGCCTGAAACAATGAGGTCGAAGATGATCCTCGATCTGGTCAACCTACTGCAATGTCATGAACCCTCATGATACTTTATGCTCACACAAAAAAACTTCATCTATGGTTTTCTTACGAAAGATTCTTGAAAATCCCGCCAGAAATCTGAGCTCGGCAGATGCTTTTCGCCTATGGTTTTCTTACGAAAGATTCTTGAAAATCCCGCCAGAAATCTGAGCTCGGCAGATGCTTTTCGCACAGCCTTATATTTCTGAGGGTGACGTTTTTCATGCTCCTTAAGCAGAGGTGGTGTTGTGGCAAGTGGAGCTCACACGCACTGTCACGGGTTCGAATCCCTGATCGATGTCTACCTAGGGTGGCTTGTACATCGGCTAGCCACCGCAAGCCATTGTAGAGACCATACGCATTCAATACGCCACTACGATTCTGACTAGAAGTCGAATGCGAGGGTGCATCCTTCAGATGGGATTGATGAACGTCAAAAACTTTATCCTTTGTACTTTTAATGTCAGCTCCTTTGCCAGTGGTTGATATGAAGAATAATATATAATAATAATGGGTCAATAAGCTATTTTCCACATAATTTTTCCGACACCACGTTTACATAGATATTCTCGCACGTCCATCGATAAATGACCTTTTTTCAGCCAGGAAATCTTGCTACATTACGTCCAGTGGATTTACATCTTATGAATATCTAATGAGATTTGGACCACATCCATAGGCTGCCTGTGAAAGCTCATTTGTCTTGGACGAGAACGTCATAAAGTTTTCCGATTCCGTTGAAGACCCTAATTTAATAAGGTGGGCAAGAGGTTTTAAAGGACTGCTTTGATAGGAATACGTGCAGAGTCAACAGTAAAGAGGATCAATTGCCCATTACTCATTATTACATACTCATTAATACTATAATGTAACACGCTCGCATCTGTCTGTCCGTCTTTCTGTCTGTCTGTGTGTCTGTGTGTCTGTCTGCTTGTGTGTCTGTCTGTCTGTCACGTAATTCGATATAACCTGAAGAAGCAGCTGGAGGGGTTGGGTCAAGATTGGGATGGGCTGGATGTAGGGCCCGATCAACAGAGCCATATGAGCCTAGGGGAATGCCGCTTACGAGGGCGGAAAATGCACCGGAACTGGCGGGTTGAAAACACACAGTCCACTGCGATTATCAACCACTACAGCAGTCCATGAGAAAGGACGTTGAGTAGTTATAGCAACGGTATGAGCCGAGGAAATCCGCACCCATTCTCGTATTTGTTCAGCTTCATATCGAGCACCGTAAATGGAAGAGAATAGCGAGAGCAATGGAGACGATTCCCCACAATAACACTCGTAATCGATGCTGTTTCCTAGTTAATGCATCGTCGTCAGCTGCATGAGATGAGCGGCCAATCGGTCGGTGCGCGAACGCCGTCCGTCCGTCGCAGCTGCTAGCTAGCGTGTGGATGGCTTTCACCGAATTAGGGGGGACCATCGATTGGCTTTCTCTTCCGACCCTTTATGGAAAAGCCATTTTCTGACGTCGTACTATTCGGCATGCAGTCCATCTGGGAAAATGGACTCAATACCGATTTAGTCAAAAAATACGGTCAAGCTACTCCTAAATGGGCTCTAATCAACTAAGCAGAGCGTTTTAGAAAAACCGTTTTTTCGGTTTGAAGTCGAGTTGAGTTGCTGGAATAGCTCCCGACATAAAAACCTCCCAATTCATTGCCTTTCCAATCTCTATCTGTCTGTTTGCGTGATGTGCAATCCTGTGCTGATCAAAGCGTTTATTATGAAGCGAATTCGATTCACACCGTTCTCGTCAGTCAGTGCGTCAGCCAGCCGGCCGGCCGTTTCAATGTATTCATGGATGATTCCTTTCAGTTCATGTAGAATGCCGAGTAAACCTCCGACTGCTCAAGGAGTCTCTGTACAAGTGTCGCTAAAAGAAAGCGAAATTCTTAAAGCGATACTTGAATTCCTTGAAATACGCGGTCTTCATATTACTCAGGTACGTGTGCCTAGACTTCTCAAATTTCCTGCCTTTTTTTGGATTTTTTATTTGAGGTTTACGTTCCGTTTACACTTTAAAACTCTGACATCGGCGACTGTTGTCTGAGGAATGAAAAGAATGCCGTAGAGGTTTCATTTCTGTGCTGCCCATCGTAAAATCGAATTTTCTCATCCTCAAAAATTCGGAATTTTTTTTCCTTTCTTTCAGCTCACCTTTGTTACCATAGTAGTGTGTTCAGCATCCTTTTTACATTTTTAAAATTTTTTCATGTTTTTTTCAATATTACCACTGTATACTGTTTTTTTTNTTTTTTTTTCTGGTATCCTCATGGTTTCTACATGAGACATCTGAAGCATGTTATTATGTCTCTGTAGCTGACGAATCTGCAGCTTAATTGCGGTTGATGCTGACCTCTGCTCCTTCAGCAGCTCTTCCCTCTTTGAAAATTTCCTGTATTGTCTCCCAGCGTAGTTTGGCAAGTGAGAGTCCCTTACTTGCAGCTTGTGCAACTTGTCAACTCGACAGATTTGAAAAGAGGCATATCTCGGTGTCTCGTAAGCTCTGCTTTCTGAGCACTGTGAGGAATATGTCTGAAGGGCCAGGTTTTGCTGCTCGTCGATACGTCGTTGAGTTAATTCCCAAGCGAAGAGGAGTAGTCTCAAGTGACGTGGAATTGACAGTTCGTTTCTTGGGCTTAGCGATTCTCGCCATTGCTTCGAGGACTAGAATATCCCCTTTATGAAAGGAAGGGCCGGTTCTACTCAGCACTTTGGAATAGCAACAACATCCGTGAAGTAAAATATCAAATGAGGTTGATATGGTTAGGAACTGGCTAGAGCTGACTTCTGGGTTTATCGCAAATGGGAGACTTCTCTAACTGGAGCTGATGAAGTGGAGAAACTCATAACATCTCTCACTCTACTCATTCATTCTTTTCTATGAGTTCCGACAGCCACTCAGCGTATCTTTCGGATTCTGCAGTGACGATGTATTCTTCTTCCTCGATGTTGTAGAAAGTACATATGGTCTTTCTGGAAATTTTTGGCACAATCGAAAACGATTCTATAGTCTTTTGAACGGGTTTGGGCCATTCTAGCTGCAGTCAATTTAATTCATTCATACTTTTTCGTTGTGAGAAAAAAGTTGTCACAAAGTGGTACAATTCCTCTGGGATTTTGTGAGGATTTTCGCAGTTGTACTTTATACCCAAAGCAAAAGCTTTGAAAATTGCGGGTCACCCCGATCGATGCACCCAGGGCTCATTCATTCATAGCCCAGTGGGCAAAATGTCGTGTTTAGTGACTAATCCTATACTTTGCCATTTGCCTTGGATCGGGATACTTCACTCGACCACACATCGGAAGTGACGACATTTCGACTGAGCGACGTGACAATGCAGCTCAGAAGAAATTTTTGGCTTGAATTCCGAACTCCCAGCGATGTCGTCTTGTCCAGTAAGCTCTCCCGTATGAGGACAAACTTCCCCTTGACTTCATTTTCAATATTCAATGCGGAAAACTACAACCCCCTGCCACTCGCTTCCTCGCGCTATTGGCAATAAGGCCATGCTTTTGCAAAGTGGTGATGGTGCTGAAAGGAACACCATCCTTGGGGTGGGAAGGTTCGATGAACTATCCCTAGTAGTCATTTTATAAGCATTTTCCATTAAGAAGAGGAAATTTTTCGCGTCAAGTGACGCCACTGATCAGAACCACAAACTCTCAAAGATGAAAAGGGTTCAGTGAAAATAGGTCTTTCTCGTTTGGTGTTGTAATAACGACGAATGCTACGGAAATCCAAAAACTGGCTCTGCTCCAGTGTTCCCTCTATCCATAGCACTTTTCGAGCAGAACCGATGTTTATGAAGCTGAAACTGACTAGGTTGTCCGGTGCTTCGTCGGGAGGGAAGGCTGAAGATAAATTGAAGCAGCTGCACACCTCGGAAAATGGTGTTATCACTAGCGTAAAGTGGTTGTAGCCTTCAACAAGCTTTGCATGAACGGTCAAAGTAAAGGGCTATCAGAATTGCATTCTCACACATTGCCTTTTGACCACTGAAAGACAGATGATTCCTTTTAATATGAAGAGGATTGGGAGGAAAGGAATATTCCATACTTTCTTAATATTGCCGGAATCTTGAAAATGTAATGTTGTAATGTTGTAATGTAATGTACACGTAATGTTTAAGCTTTCGCTGGAAAGGGAAACGGGTGTGATAAATGGCAAGTACTCGGATGACTTGCTTTTCCTACGGCAACTTATCCTCGATGGCCAATGGGACAATGCCCTCGATTTCGTCGAGCCGCTCAAGTCTGTACAGGACTTCGATTTCAGACAGTTCCGGTATGTCTTCTCCAGTTGTGTTAGATTTAATAAGGGCCCAACCTTTTATTGCAGGTATACCATCACAAAGTACAAGTTCTTCGAATTGTTATGCGTGAAATTGGAACCTGGGCCACTACACGACAATGACTTTGCAGTTGAGGTACGATAACTAGTGGCCAGTTTGCCTATCGTAAAATAAACTCATGTGAATAGGATGTACCATTGAAGAATGGAAGAGTAGTTTGTTGCTTTGAATTGCGGTAATTGAGTAAAGCCCATGTTCTATGACTGGTGGAAAAATAGACTTTTCTGATTGTTTTGCCTTTGGCCTCTGTCTGAAAGAACTCCTACCCACCCTTGGCCTAGAATCGATACCCTAACAGGAAAATAAACGACATCGCACTCGGGCGGTCTGTGCCTTCGAGGGACTAAGTATTGCCTTATAATGAGTATCTACATCTTCGTTCCAACTGATTTCACAATCTCTTATTTTCTAGAAATTTTTTAGATTCTTCTTGCACCTTGTTTTCTTCAACTTGCAGATGCGTCTTTAACAGCCTATCAACTCGGTAGTTATTAGAAATGTCTTATTCACAGTTACACTATCAGAAAAATGTTCTCATAGCCCGGTTCCCACACTGGAGAAGCCGGAGAAAGACTGTGTATAACTGCAGCACGTTCACGAACTTTTGAGCAATTACTTGAGTCCATGAAGCCTTCTGTGTTATATCCTACCGTTATTTTATCCACTGGAAATGACTTTTGCATAAATTTTTCGATTTTGTTGAGTGATGTTTCTGGTTTTATCCGTTCACATCAGAAATGCATGTTCATTAGTACGATAAATAAGTAAACGTATATGTATATGAAACCATGATTCAGGAGTTGGTGGAATGCCTGAAGGATCTGGAGCACATCTGTCCTTCGCCTGAAGACTATCGCCAGCTCTGCGCGTTGTTGACCCTCCCAAAACTCTCAGATCATGCTGATTTCAAGAATTGGAATCCTTCATCGGCTAGAGTGGAATGCTTCCACAAGGTGAGTCGCTGATGATTCATAGGGTTGAGGAAATCGAAAAAGGACGTTTGGGTGTTGATGTACAGGGTGTTGCCAAACCTTTCACATAATCCTTCACAACGGGCTTCGTGGAACTTTCACTATTCTATGCCATCTCCTGAACGTAGTACTAAAAAAAGTTGGGTGGGTCACAAGTGGAGGGAATTCCCAGAAACACATCAGACCTTTCTAAGGAATTCCATTTCGAGACAATTTGGACGTGGGAGAAATAAGCATAGCTTTCAGATCCAGGCTCTGGTCGCCCACCTACTTCCTCCAACAGGCAAAGAACGTGAAAACCAGGTAATATGCAGTTGTAATATAAAATATTTCACATTTGTAGCTGATAGCGAAATTTGATTCATTTGAGATTTCTCCTTCATGCCCTTTGAATGTTTTTCTCTTTACTATCCACATATCTACAGTTTCTGATACTGTTTTAACTTAATGCTGAACCATCCCTCCTTTTTAGGAAGAGCATCATTCAAATCATGACCGATTAATCTCATTAGTGACAAAAGGAGTATTCTACGAGGGATGTGTAGACTATTGCCAAGCTCAAGCCATCGGCGATCTCAGAGGTGAGCGTTGATTTAACGGAGCACAGATCGTGATTGATGATGATTGATCAGTCTGCGGAGCAGAAACGAACGCCGTAACTGCAGACTCACAAGCAAGATATGCGGGGTTTACATGACGTGAGTACCGAGCTCATTGCTTTGTGATCTCAGTATCCCACGTAGAAGGATCAAAACTATTCAGGTCTTCTCTGAAAATTTGGAAAAAAAATGATCAGAGCGTTTCTGGTGCACATTTTGTTTTTGTTTAAGACTTACGACTTCTGGTAAACTTTTTGGACACTAATCGTCCATCCTTGAGTGATTGATGTTAGATTGTAGCACTTTCATCTGCACAATTCACGTACAAATTCTAAGGTTCGAATTCAATCTTGTTTCTTCTGATTATCAGTTTTGCTGGGCGGACGTGGTGTAGTGGCAAAAGGCGCACTATCGCACATGCATGGTCGCGGGTCGGATCAATGCCCGCCTAGGCCAAACAAGCCTTCCATCATACGGAGTCGATTAAGTAGTTTCAAACACGGGAGGATAAAAGCACTGACTTGTTCATCGGCTAGCCATCGCCAGTCACTGTATAGGATAGATACGCATACAATACGCCACTACGATTCTGAATGGATGTTGTATGCGGAGCGCATCCCTCAGAGGGGATTGATTAACGCCTATAGACTTTATCCTCTTTTGTTTTGACTGTTTACCTGGTCACAAAACCACCAAAAAGGGTCGCATCACCTTTAGCGCTCCGACCTCAACTACATATGTACTTGGGCACTCCGTAACCTCAAACATTCGCGAAAACATCTTCGCTAAAACCTACATCTAAAAAAGGTTCAACATATACTCGATTTCTTGATGAGCGGACTACAGGTCGTTTCAGGCATAGAAAACGGTCCTCATCCGACAGACATACTAGCAAACCGACCGCGCCTATCATCCACGGACCTATCATTGATATCGTGGCTGGAAATGGTCGGACGAGAACAATTTGCGATGCCATTTCAACAGAAGCAGCTCGACCTCAAAGTGGAACATCTGAAGTGAGACGCTTTTCTTGACAGGTCGTTAATCCTTTCTGGATCAATCCTACTTTCATGCCTGAGGAATCGAGTGGTCATCAACATGTTCTCAAAACCCTTCCAACTGTTATCTCATACGCACATCAAAAGGAAAATGCAAGTCCTTTCAGGAAGCCGAAGCTTGAGGCTCAGTGGACAGAGACGATTCTAGCAACTCCGATGAAACCTGGTGGCCATTTCCCTCACTCAATGGTTCCCAATGCAAAGCTGAAATTCGCCGAAAAGATGAGCCAGTCGATGACTATGCTGCCGTTGAGCACCAGCATGATCACGAGTGAGTTTCTGAATTCTGCCTTTCCCCCTCAGTTCTTCTTCTTGTGTTGCCATTTCCGTAGCCGGTGAAAGAGGATTCCCAAACAAAATCTCCCTTTTCAGGCGTTTTTCCAATGGTCACCCGACTACAGCCAATGTCGCAGTCCACAGCAGCAGGATTCTGCCTTGGTATTGGTGACGCTGGAAGTGAAGCGATGGCACAAAGTCAAATGATCGACAACATGATGGAAATGAGCCAACTAACGAAGAGTAGTCGACCTGATGGGCAACGGAATCACATGATTCCGAATGCTATGATGAGGTTCGAGTTATCCCTTGGCCTATCTGACAGACCAATTTTTTTCACAATGATGTTGGCAGAGGGTCGTGTTCTCAATTTTCTTTCAAAATGTGATTAATTCGGAACCGTTTGAAGATTTTAGCTCAATGGCTCCGCAGGTGATGGGGCCAGCTTTGGTTCATAGTCAGATCAATCCCTTATACGATTTCACTCCAGTGCGGAGGCAACTTGACGAGATGACTCGACGGTGAGATTATTCCTCTCCTCAAATCGCTGCTGCTCATGATGGCCCTCAGTTCTTGTCTGCATTCAGAGAAATTCTGACTTTCTATTTTCAGTTCACTTCCCCCTCCATCCTCTCAACGACAGTCATCACTGCCTCCCGTCCCTGAATTGCCAACTCCCAGTAAGTACCACACCATTTCTCTAGTGATTGCTGAATAGATCCGAAAGTAGCTGTTATTCAGACGAGAATCCCATGACGCAAAGTCGTCTATTTCAAGAGTTTGCCAGCAAGCAGAGAACATGTAGGTTGACTGGCCATTGCTGTTGAATTTCGTTTCCAAGCCTTCTCGATGTTTTTCAGCGCTTTCTGCCGAACCAGCTGTACCTTTGAGACAGCGACAGATGTCTGCTCCAACGTATCCGATTCCGTATGACCAGAAAACGGCTGTATATGCTAACGGACAAGTGCCGGTACGGGCTCAATCCATAGGAGTTTCATCAAACTTGCTGTACTTGGAGCTGTTCAGCTTGATAGCTATAACGAAAGCTGTTTAAAAAGCTGCTGTCCTGCATTTCATGCCACTCGTTATACTTGAGGATCAGTTTTTGGATAGCGAACTGAAAATCATATCATAAATGATAATAGTATGGACGAGATATGGCAATTTTCGTCCTAAGCATGTGTTTGACATCTTTCCAGTTTTCTGTATAGGACCCTTGTCTTGTAGTTTCCGAAAAAACGGTTCGGAAGCATGTTTTTCCGGTGTTGCAAATCAGCTAAGTTTATCTTAGACGGGTTTGAAAATTCACCAAGAATACTTCTCAGAAGCTTAGCTCTCGGGTGTAACGATCCCCCAATCATATTCCGTATTGGGAGAAATTTATGGCATTTGAGAGGACCACATAGAGGTCTTTTCTAGTCTAATAGCGGTCTAAATGGAGCCCAATCGGGGTAAAAAACCCTTGCCGATACCTATTGCCGTACAGCACTTCCAAGAAAATACGTATTTACTGGCCTAGTAGATTGTGATGCCCTTCAGACGGGGGAACCTTTTTTAAAAATTTAGGCTATCGAAGCAGAGACTTGTGGCTGGCATTGTTGTTCTCCAGCTGGTTAAATCTATTTTAAACTCTATTCTTCCTGATAACTACTCCCAAGAAGAGCTTATATATCGGTATTTCTCGTTCCTTGTTTCCGCTTCCGTTTCCAATTTTCTCGTTTTCCTCGCCACCGACGAACTGTTCTGCATCAACCTCCCACAGTGGACCTAGTAAAGGGTCCATATCAGAAGTTTTTATCAGGGATGTCTCCAAGACTCCGAGTATCAACAGGAATTTAAAAAATATTTTACATCACTTAATTCAGTTAATTCCACTGCAAAGTATGATGGTCAATAATGAAGCTGTAATCGATAGGAAGATGGAATTATATCTTTTGACGCAACATGTGTGTTTCTAACGCTTTTCCGACTTGAAGAGTTAGTTCTTTGGTAAACGAATCACTGTCAGATGCCGATCACAGCAACGATTCCGACTGTGGTTCCATCCTCAATGGCAGTGACCGGTTCGGGCTCTCCTCGACCGCATTCCACTGTCGCTGCTCAAACGGTGACATCTCCTCCTGCAACACAACCGCAATCGAGGCCGGTGTCTATGCCACCGAACGGAACTTCTGCAACTCCTGTTCAGTTCGTACCCGTATGCAGGTTCGTTGCCCCTAGAGTGTGCCACTGTGAAGAACTGTTTGCAAACACCGTGGATAGTGAATGTGGTCGTTGAGATGTCTGGAAAACATGTTGTACGAAAGTCCCTCTCTTTGCAGATATGAGGACAGCCAAGCAATCCGTACAGTCGCCTTTCATCCAACTGGTCGTTACTTTGCAGTTGGTACAAACTCGAAACAACTTCACATTTGCAAGTACCCCGATATACGACGTTTCAGGTCGGCTATTTCCAAACCTTTGCTCTGCGTTTCTTCTTCGACTTTAACATTTTGCTATATTCAAATGCATTTTCTGTTTGACTCGTCTCGAAGCTTCATATACCTTAGCCTTCTATTAATTCATTTCGGCGACTCTGCTTTCCCAAAGGGCTTAAAGTTGTACTGAGTTGAATCTGAGCGCAAATTTAAAAGTTACTTGTTACCTATCTTTAAGCCCCCGTGGCGGTGATGGCTACAACAACCTCTGCATACGTAATATCCTTGGCCATAGGACATCCCTCACTTAGAGTATCAGAATGGGGTGTTTTGCTTCAGATAGAAAATGTAGTACTTTATGGGCCGCTCTGCTGTCAGATCTTAAAGGCACAGTTCGCGATAATTTAATGGGCGGGTATGTCAACGACGTGTCCGCCTCTCATTCGATGTCATGTCAGACAGCCTGACGTGACATCAAATGAGAGGCGGACACGTCATTGACATACCCGCCCATTGAATTATCGCGAACTGTGCCTTTAAGTGAAAATAAGCTCATCGAAAATCGCACTGAATTCAGTTCCACAAAGATGCATGGACACGAAAGAATGTTGCAACTGAATGCCAATAATCAATTCCTGAAAATAACAGTGACGTAAATTGGTTTTTTCAGCCACTCCGAGCAAATACGACATCCAGAGATCCTGTTATCTCGTCCCAAACAGCACCGTGGGTAAGTTGATAGACATTTCCTAACCCAGTGGCCCAAGTTAGTCAGGCTGCGTCCAAAGCTTTATCATTAAAGGCACGGTTCACGATAAAAAAAGGTTACTGAGCTCTTCCTTTAGGAATAC